CATGTTCATGAGCATGATTCTTGCTCTTAGCCACATGAGAATTTTCTTTTGAAACTGTTGGTTTCTTGGTTTTGTTGATCCTCAGTAGAAGTTTAATAAAAGCCATGTTGTTTTTCATATGTATATTAAATTATTCCCATTGCTCACAGGTATCATTGCAGCCTTTTTCACTGCTGCAGGCTGCAACGGACTTGCTTAATATGGGGCCAAATTGAAAAATGGTTGTTCCCATTAGTCACTTAGACACAAACATGAGAAAATGGGTTCCAAGTTTAAAAAAATACCAAAGTTACCTTTTAATAACAGTTACATGGACCAAAAAAAATCCAACTATATTTAAAAACAACTGATCATTTCCTTAGTTTACTCATTTCTTCCCTTTGCTCTGAGCATTATCAACACTCATTAAATCTTCTCTTTCTCTTGTTTTCAGTGAGGGCGGGGTCTGTGTCAGACTCCGTTCAGCGACCCAGCGCTCTTCGTGCCAACTCTGAGGATCACAGCTCCTTCAAGTCCAAGGACCAATCTCCAAACCCAGACAAAGACAGGGCAGCAGGCAAGAAGTCCTCAGACTCTGGGGAGGAGGCAGACAAAGACTTTATTTTAATTTGAGTAAGACAAATTTACAATTAAAAAAGCCTCAAGTGTTTTCCTTTAGAAAAGCAACTAAGGGAGAATCTAATCGACATGCTTTCATTTATATTCAAGGTTGTACCTGTAGGTCCTGTCTGACCGCAAAGTACAAATCATGTTTGGTTTGCAGGAAGCAGGAAGCCCTGCTGTAGTATCAGGTAATACACACTTTCAAATTAAATTTAGTTTGGTTATCTATGATTAAACCATTGATACTGACACTTTTGGGGGGAATATCCTCAGTAAACTTCTCAGTCACATCATGTCACCTAGTAAACCAAACAGTGCAAAATTCTCCTAAGAGCTTCCTTCTCACAAACAGCCTTTTCTCCTTTTGTCCTGCCCTCTGCTGTCAGGTGAAAATCTCACATCTCTAAAAGAAGAAACTTTTCAGGATTTGAGAAAATGGTTCCCAGGGTGAACGAGCGAATACAGCCAATGAAACCTGAATGAAGTTTGTAAACTACTAAGAAAAAAAAGATGCTTTCAGGAACCTGCAGATTTTGTGTGCAAAGGACAGATAGAGACTGTGAAACTACATCAAAAATCTCTTCCTTTGACTAATAATCTTAACATCTCATTGCTATTTGTTGCAGTAGCTCCTCTCCCAGGGACCAAACACACGTAACAATAATACCAGGATCACTGTACTGTACTTGAACTCAAACAATACGACCCGACCAGGACCCAATGGCATTTTCTTCCTTCGGTATATTTGTATAGATTTTTCTATATGCTATTTTCTGCAAGTTACTGAATTCATTATGCAATTCATCATCTTTTTATTTTTCAGGAATATACAGGTCCAGCTGAGAATCTCAGCCCACCATAAACCGCACACACACATTAGATGTAGCTCTCCTGATAGTAGATACTACAGGTCACACGGAGGAGACAACTGGAGTTTTTACTAATAGCTATAGACTAACATCCCAACTGAGCTCATGTTTGTCTTTGTGTGAGAGAGTTGGAGTGACCATATGAAGTGTTGCTTTGAGAGGACTGTGGTACACTTTAACTTCACTGATAACTAATCAATAAGGCTTCAGCACTGTTAACTAACACTGTTCTCTGTGTTTAGACACTGTGGAAAAAATATCTTATACCTTTAAACTGCGGATGTCTTTGTTCCGCTGTTCATGGAGGAAAGTGTCTGTCATTAAATAGCAATACAGAGCACCATTACAAACCATGACCAAAAAAACAGCTTTATTCCTAGCTGGAACTATTAAGCATTAAATAAAACTGTGTGGTGCGTGAGTGTTCATCACAGTCCTACACACTCCGAATTGCTCTTGAAGACAGATGGATTCTTACCTCCTGATAACACGCCTGCATTTATTTCCCCGGTGTGCTGATGGTCCAATGAAAGCAAAGAACTTACTCAAGAAGAGGAATGTCTTAGATAGTCTGCTGGAAGGTAAAGTGGAAGCCACCGACGTGTGCTTCCCATTTCAGCAGCTGTTTAGTTTCAGATTTTGACACCAACCTCTTTGGTCTGATCTTTGTGTGAAAGCGGGACACTGAGGGAACTCCAGCCTTCTAACACTTCAGACTTGACCTGCAGGGCTTTCAAATTCAATTCACTTTCTCTTCATTCTGAGCAAAGACAATGTTTTGAAATTCAACCTGTAAAGGGGTTTGCCTTTGTTAAAAAAATAATTGAGAATGCAGTGCCTGAAGTGAAAGTGCACTGGGGGTAGCTGTATTTTGACCACGTGGACCTCTAGGGTATTGTGTATGTAGCAATGTCAAGACCTGAATGCTACACAACAACAACAGCAACAACAAAGGTCTCAGGCTGATTACACTTATCTTTGTCTTTAAAGAGCAAGAAGTGCCCTTTTCACACTGCAAACAGACGGCAAACCGATTCTCAGAATGACCTGGGGTCTCTTTATAAAACAACGCATAGGAGCCATACTAAAAATGTGCGTACAGACAAAAGCCTAAAATGATGATAATTTCTACAATCAGGCTTCCACCTCACCGTCTGCATTGCCTATTTGGCCGTCTCCAAAATGCTTGTTAGCATGGGTCAGTTTCTCCCATGAAGTCTGTTTTTATAGATCACCATGCCTCTTTCAGGCCTCGTTTTGTGCGTACGCAATGTTTATAAATGAGACGCCTGGTGTTTAAATGATTGACAAAGTTAAAAATAAAAAAAAGGCAGCTGAGATTTTGGAGTAACTCATATATTTATCTTCAGTTTATTCCCTTAGCGTTGGATTTTATTTGATTTAAAACTATGCAGTTCTACTAATATCCATATATGCTCCGTGTAGCTTCATGAAACTAGCCTCACATAGCCAGACCTATCTCCACACTTTGATTTAGTGCTGTGCATGAAACAGAAATACACACACTGAAACCATTTCACTAAGTTTCATATTAAAAACCACAAGAAATTAGCAGCACTGTGCACTGTGGCATGAACATTAAAATGCTTACTGGAGTGTCTCTGTATCTGTAGATGAGGACAGGGGCCAGGAGCATCACTGGATTTGCCTGCTGCAAAACAAAACGCAAAAAAAAATGCATGCTGTGCTTGCATCCAGAAGGTTAGCTAACTTTGGTTGATGCTTGACAATACTGTAAGTTTTTCAAAGCCTGGCAATTAAACACAGTTTTAATGATGATTCAGCTGTTGTGATCGGTTTAGAGAAATACAAACAACCCAGAGTACTTTTTTCCCGTAATTATGATGGGATCAGTCAGACCTTTTTCCAGGGCTGGCACAGAGATAAAACCAAGTGTGGCCTGGCTATGCGAGACTTCAGGAAAATGAACCCACATTTAAAGGATATAGTCCTATACTGTCAATGCAGAATATTTTTAGCTCTTATCCAACCAACTTTACAATCATAAAAAAGACAGAAATGCTCGCAGCATTACAGACATCTGTGTGTGAAATCCAACAACTGTATCATTATATCAACATTGACCACTGTGGAGTTTTATTTAAGTTAGACTATCTGGTTGTCGTGTGCCAAACTGTGCTCCAACATTCATCTGAAATGTGCACACGAGCTCGTTCTTTACTGCGCAGTGTGAAAGGGGCACAACTTGTATTTTGTTGTACTGTACAAGAATAATTCATGTCAGGGCCAAAGGTCTTACTGGTGCACCTTTTCCTACGGTGTCTATCGATGTCTTTTTGTAGGATTCTAATAAGATTTTCCTTCTTTGTCACTAATCATGGCTCGGAAATAACACTGTTCTTGCTGTATATAGTTAATCTAGTCTCTGATGTCAACACCTGCTTTGATTAACAGTCCCAGTCCCAAAAAACAAACACTATTTTTTGTTTAGAAGGTGTTCCATGACACTGAAAAAAAAATACCACTACTTTGCAATACGTTGAAAGCGTTAGCGTGTGCTGTATTCTGTTGACAGTTTCCTGTTGTGAGGAAATCACATGGACACCTTCTTTTGCTTTCTGTTTGGGATTTCAGAAGCAGCTGGCTTTGTTTCTGTTAAGTTGTGTGAAAGACTGATCTGTTCAATCCTGAAAAAACGAGCATCCACTTTTATTTCTGTCGGTGCACGGACGGAGTGGAGCAAGTGAAAATAACCAGTAGCATTGAGTCTACATGTGTGTGACTGCATGATGTGGCTGTGAGTTGTACTGTATGTATATATGTGCTTTCATACATGTAGGAGTGTGTGTGTGTATATTTGTATGTGTAATATACGCACGTGTAATATACACACTGTGATACATTCACACGCCTATGTGAACACAGCAAATCCTATATTGTTTTGGTACTAAGTACACTACTATACTAGGGGTTTGTTTGTAACTTATTTGGAATATAAAAAAAAAAAAAACAGTGGCCGGTGATGTCTTGAACCTTTGTTTCTCCTCTCACATGTACATTGTGTTCATAAATGTAGAAATTAATTCTTTGTATGTATTAATTTGTTATTACATGTAATCAATGTAATGTTACTTTCATCATGATTCAGAAAAAAAAAAGATGCAAAACAATGACCGTTTTCTTTGAGCTGGAAAAAAAATTGCATATGACGTGTGCTCATTATCAGTCCCGATACGTTATTTGTTCCATTTCTTCATGGATCAGTATGTTTCACTGAGTCATTCTGCTGTTGTTGGACATTTCCTCATGCAAATATTAACATTGATTAAAAATAATTTTACAGGCTTTACAATCTCTGCGTTGTCTTTATTTTTAAAACTTTTGTTGAAGATCTGCTTTGCAGTGAAACAATACAGCCAGCAGATGGCAAATACAATGCCTCAGTATGCTCTCTCAGTCTCTCACACACACATACACACACACACACACACACTCACTCACACCCAAAGGGGGTGTGGTTTTTAATAAGTCAGAAAGAGCATATGTCAAGAAAGCAGACTGCACAGTGCATCACAGCTCGTCACTTACTGTAAGTCCTGGTTGTCTCTACATGTTAAGTTGGACGTCTTGCTTTGCCTTTCTTCATTAAAATGGACAGTGCTTTTGATAACCTGGATGCAGCTGGTTTCCTGGAGATCTGGCAACACTTCGATGCAGATGGTGAGGACACTTGATGACATGTTTTAATTTTTTTTTCTACAGAAATTGTTGAAGGAAGTAAGTGAAGATCTTATCATGTTAAATATTCTTGTCATTGCAAAATAGGTTAAAAAATGTACAATGTCACGTATATGCTGTATATTCCATGCCTGAGAGGGGCTCGATGCAGAAATAAAAGTACACATCAACAAGAAGCAGAATGACTTTACACAGGTCAGAACTCAAAATCTAAAAAAAAATAATAATAATTTGGCAAAGATTGAGTCATTTGGTGACTTCCTCTGAAGTTCTCACTCTGTATTTGAATTTTGATTAAAACTGAGACTTGCCTCATCACTTTTACAACCCAGGGACTTGTCTTTTTTTATTCAACAGATAATGGCTACATTGAGGACAAAGAGCTGGATGACTTTTTCCGTCACATGATGAAGAGACTGGGTCCACGGGTAGGTTAACTTTGGATGAATTCATCAATAACTTCTGAAAACAGTGGTAACAGCAGTTCAATACAGTGCATGTCAAAAATGGCTCATCAGACACAAAGACACAGACCTGCACTGGGTCAACCTATAGTGCATGCTACACCAATGACAAAAAAAGGAATAGCAGTGTTAATATTACGACTGTTCTCAAAATAAGATGACACTGATTTTACTATGAAATTTGTCATTAAATTCAATTTGGCATACAATGGTAATGTAAGAAGCTGCTGGTCAACGTCAAATCTTGGATCAGCTTCTAGGCTGGGCTGGACAATATATCAGTATTGTGAGATAAGACTATATATCATCATTTATTTTTATCTTTTCCTGGTTTTAAAGGCTTTATTACAATAAAGTTATGTAATATTCTGAATGACTGTTCCAGCTGTTATTATTATTATTTGCCTTTACCCACTTAGTCATTATACCCACACTGCTGATGATTATTTTTCCAAATCTCATTGTGTAAATATTTTGCAAAATCACCAGTGGTCAACCCTATAATATTGGTAATATTGGTAACAATAATATTGGTATTGTGGTATGGTTATATTTGATTAACTCCATATCACCCAGCCCCACTTATGTAATACATTTTGGCTTTGGCCACAACACTTGTGATCTCTGCTGTGTGGGCAGCTGAACCTTGATGCAGTTATCTAGATGGGTGGGGTGACTAACGATGTAAGGCGCAACACAATTAAAGAGCTCTGGTCACTGTCAGAGGGAAAGTTCCTCGCCAGTTGTAATGGAAAGCCAAATGGGCGCACACCTATTAGTATAGCTTTGGTGTGTGTTTGCCCGTGTGATTGGACTCCCTCGGATACTAATGGGGTTGTACTAAAACAAACAGACCACCGACCACATGTCACTTTGTCTCTCTGGTGTTTGCTTTCCATCATAAATGCCCCCAGGATGAGTACTGTTGTGTATTTTTCAAGGCACAGTCAATGTCTATTACATTATATGCAGCCACTGGGTGACATTAACCCCATGGTGCCTTTCTGTCTTTTTGTCTATTTCATCTTGTGCAACATATCCAGTAATTATGCAGATTTTTCATGAGTGAATTAACACATTTCCAAAAATGAATTTGCATGTGATACACTGAGTTGTCAGTAAAACCAAGAGAATACATGAGGTTGCTATGCAGTGTGCATAGTGTCAGTAGTGTATATTGAGTCAGATTTTACTGTGTGCTTTTAAAAACTTATGCTTAGGGACTGTTCTGTATTTATCAGGGGAGGGGTGTGGCTGGTGTGTGACTTTATTTATTTTTTTAAATATTGAATCTCCTCGAAGCTACAGAGGAGACTGGGGGAAAATATATGAGTTATCACCGAAACATTCAGCTAGCCTAATTTCTCAAGCAAAATACAAGTGTGTGCGCACATCAGCAGAATATGGGTGCATGACAGCCACCATCCTACCACACAAAACAAAATTTGATGCACCAATTTATCACCTGAACATCGAATTGTTGATTGTCCTCAGCCTATCAGCAAATAAGATGGCATTTGCAGAGGACAGTGGCTGCTGTTTTTTGTTATGTCACATAAATTTTTCGCCGGCTAAAAACCAGGGCTTGAGCACAAACTTAAATCAACGAGCAGTGCAAGAAGTATACGATGATTGTTTGGCAGATGGGCTCCGTTATGTCACTGTTGTATGATGAGATGGTTAGTAGCAGCCCATGTCCCAGTGTCCCGGAATCCCAGTGTCTTAGCAACCAGGCAAGTCCCTCCTGAGTGCCTAAAAAAATATTTAACATGCTCCCCCACTGCACCCCATCCCCCGCCACTACCACCATCACAGGTAACAGACGGTCCCTTAGCAACAGCACACTACAGGCACCAAACATGAGACAGAAAAGCAATGCTGAAGATAAATAGTTGCTTTTCTGTAATGAGCAAGGACCTGGCACCTGCTAGTCTGCAGCCTGTGTGCTCTCTGCACTACATGAAACGATGATTCAGACGTCAGCACCTCGGATCAACAGGTTTCTATAGCTACAGTACAGCGATGGGTGGGTTTGCAAAGAGACACCGGATGATCAGCTGCTAAATATGTTTTAAAATAACTTCAACAGTTGAAAATATTCTTAGGTTCAGTTGTTTCAAGCTCTTGTCTGAGAAGAAGAAGAAACTGGTCTGCACAGGAAAAGGAAATGTGATTTTTAAGTCCGATAAGCACGCCACACACAATATCTTTGCAGCGTTTTAATCTCAATTTATCCTTAGTTATAATCTGCTACAATATGTCCATATGCTGCACTTCATCACGTTTCATGAGTGATAGTGCTTCCTGACTCATTATCTGTAGCAGCGTGGTGTGGACTGATGAAAAGACGTCATGCAAGACTTCACATATTCCACTGAGGTGTTTACAGTAAGCTGTTTGCTGCAACCAAAGTTGGTCAAGGCATGGACTAACACTCATTTGCATTTAATAAAACACACAATAACAACATTGTGTGCAAGAAAAATTTCATCTCGTCTCGGATAAGTGCACTACACCCTCTGTCCGTTGTATTACAAAGACCAATTAGAGCAAGGACATGTAGAGCGAGCTACGTAAACCCTTCACAAGCAGTACACCCTGGGTTGAGAAAGCAAACCTTGAGAGAAAAAAAAATCGAAGATCAAAGGAGTATCCATGGTGACATTGCTTAAAATAACTGTGACTCAGCCAGTTAAGTGTTTGTTCTTCAACATCATGTTAAGATTTTCAAAGATATCATTTGGAAAGAAGTGGTATAAAATACAAGTTAACTGGGTAATTTGCCCCGTCGTATACTGTATCATCATCATATCTGTGTCCACTCTAACAGAGGCTTTAAGTCAAGAAAATCAATGTTGTGTTTTAACCTTTTGTGTCTCTACAGGAGAAAGTGACTGAAGAGAGAGTCCAGAGGCTGAAGCAAAGGTTTATGTCTGCCTATGATGTCACTGCTGATGGAAAACTACAGATTCATGAGGTACTGCACAATTTCTGTGTCTGTGTCTCATTCACTTGCCAATTATGTCCCCTCAGACCAAACACAGGGTACTTTATAGTGATTAAAGTGAATTATCAGTTGATAAAATTCTCCCTAACATCATATCAGTCCAGAGAGTGACTGTCATATGAAATTATGCCCGCCTCTTTCTCACTATCTGCGCCCTGAAAACCTTCTCACGCCAACTTCCTCATTATTCTATACCATCTTCCTCTTCTTCATCCCCTCTCTTTCTCAGACTCATCTATTCCGCCCAACCCCCTGTCTTTCTCTGCAATGCCTCCCTCTTCTTCCTCTGCATACCCTCTACATCTTTTATTTATGTCATGTCTCCATAACAATGACCCAGCTCATACAGAAGAATGGAAACTCATTTCTGGGACTGCTGAGGGTCAAGCCATCCTGTAGTGAAGAGACAGCCAGATGAAAGCAGCACTCAAACCATTTACCTAAATTAAATACCTGACAATCTATTGTATATACACACAGTGTGCGCTATGTATGCAATATAAATCTGATCCTAATGGAAAAGAACCTAATTGTCTTTTTGGTATCCCAGCAGGAGTCTTGTTTGTAATTAATGAAGGTTGATTCTCAAATGACTTTTTGATTGAGTCAGTTTATTGAATTAAATCAAACTTGACTGACAATTTAACAGGCTGCGGCTGTTTCCCAGAAATTTAAAGCCATATTTTGATGACATCGCTCTCTCGGTCTCCACTCCTAGTAATTGTTGCGGCTCTTGGCACAGCGGCGGTGTTTCATCAGAGCAATGAAGTGCATTTTCTGTTATTCTGGAAAAGAATCTTGTACCCATTCATTACACCAATCGCTTAATGCATTGCACCCACAGACCCCAAATGCTTTGGCTCTTACTCATAACGAGGGAAAAAAAAAAAATCAATACATGTCCGCCAATTACACTGATTTGTAGTGGCTGATGCAGGAACGATGTGGTCAAACCTCGTTGTAGCTACACTCCCTGACGACTTAAGAAGCACTTGTTTGGCTTTTTCTTTCTGGATTTGCTACCCATGTTTTCTTTTTTTCCAAATTTTAAAGTCTGTATACCTCACTGTGAGGAGCTCATTGAAACATTAGGTCTTGAGCAAAGCATTAGTTCAGGTAGGAGCTCAGTTCACATCCCAGCTACATCAGCTCATCTCAAGCAGCCAATCAACTGATGAGCAGCTGATTGATGGAAGGGAGTCAGCTAATAGATCACATGATTCCTTTCTCTGCAACCAATTGGCAAATCTCATTCAGGGTGCCCTATTTAAACTGCCTGGCCTGCCTACTGTTGCTGCTTCCTCTGCAAGCCACTTTGCAACCTGCCTCCACCCCAGCTCCTCCTTTTCATGTTGTGTCTGACTTATCAATGTCATTTCTGTTTGTCATTGATGCTGCTCTGTCCTGTTCGCGGGGAGTAGTTGTTGCTGCTTTCCCCTTATGCCTTTCATGTAGGCGCATGGAAGGGCAGAGAGGTGTGCTCTCTCCAGCTTAGGCTCTCCATGTAGGCACGCGGAAGAGGCTTTCTGCATAGGCCTAAGGAAAGGCAGAGAGGCCCCAACAGAAACATACAGCCAAATATAATACTGCAACTGGAAGTAACGTTTTCTTTGACTCAAGTGTTCCTGACTGAATTGTTTTCATGGGACTTACTTGATGTAGCTGAAAGCAGTAACACTGTCATTCTAAGATACTGACAGAAACTACACTGTACAGTACCATATATAGTGTGTTGATTGGTCATCAATACCCAGCCCGCCTAATAAGGTCATACTGCATACTACTCCATGCCAACAGTAAGAATATAGGCTTATGTATGCTACACATGTCTCTGCTGACCAGTTTTTAACTCCAAAGTAAAGAAAAGAACTTTCCTCATACTTCTGCCTCTGCTCTATAAATAGCTCCAGAAAGGAAGTTAACGAGCCTATCACAAAGTGAGAGTATCCTGTGTGATAGCTGCATGGACTGCTGTTACTCCTCTAGTTCAATACAGTGTGACTGAACCATGGGACACAGTGTTCTCTTACTATCACAAAAGATAAATCCGACAATTATATCAATCTAAAAGCGTAACCTACTCACTTTGCATTGCCTCATTAATGCAGGGTGTGCAACTGTACAACACACCGTGCATATATTGTACAACCGAATTGAGATGCTCTTGCAGGGATTGTTTTAATCAAAGATGCTTAGGTGGGTGGACACTTAATGAAATGAGGGTTTCAACCTGTCATCCATCATTAATCTCCATAAAACTGTATACAGTCTGAATACTAACACTCTGCAGGTGTGTGCCATCCTCTCACATTACACCACAGTAGGTGCTGTGTATAGGCTATTTGTATATTGTTTAAAATGTATCATTTATTGCAAACAACTGCCAACTGTTCTATGCATGGCTATAAACTTCAACCTCCAATCAACAGATAATGAGATAATGAATTAGCGCTACTGTATATCACTGACACATGTTGGCTGAAAACACCCAACAATGGCAAGTCTTTTTAAAGTGTGCCGGTCAGCGTTTGTTTCCTGGAGGCCTTGCTCCTCTGGCATCACAGCTGGTGCATTGCACTTGATTTTTCTCAGAGTTCTTCATCTTTGTTACACAAACAGCTGCAGTATCATCTTGTTTTATATAAATACATTGATGGGCCCCAGTTTAATCTGCTAATGGAGGGCTGATACTATTAAAAAGGACACACAAGAGAGGAGCAACATGAACTGGCGAGGAGCCAGGAGGAGCCGGAGTATGGTTGGTCATCCAAATGAGAATAGAACAGAAACTCTTACGTGCCTAGCCATGCAGATTGTTTCAGCTTGCAGAGGTAGTGAGATGTCTGTGGCTGAAACTTCTGCTGCCACCATAATACAAGGGTGAATGCAAAGAACAAGCATCTTTCCATATCATCAGGATACAGACCTCACTGTCAATAGTTTAATTGGATCTGTTTCTTCTGTAGAGAGTACAGTAGTTCTAATAAAAATTGAACCCTGATCTGATTAAAATTGCAAGGCCAGAACAGATTATACTGAACTGCTTTGGAGTTTGTATGTACGACTTCTGTAAACTTGGTGGTAACTGTTACTCTCTCCAAGAATAAAACGGACAAGACTTGAAGAGATGGAAAGCCTCATGCCATTATTACTGCTTTCTGCTCTGACCTTTACTCTCTGTCCTGCTTTCTAGTTGGCCAATATGATCCTTCCCGAGGATGAGAACTTTCTGTTAATTTTCCGCAGAGAAGCTCCTCTGGACAACAGTGTTGACTTCATGAAGGTAAGGTCACAGACCATACCGAATGGATTCTATTTCTTTAACTAGAGATTCACGTGTCCTCCTGAATCTAATGTTGTTTTAAGTCCACATTGATGTGTAGCCATGTCAGCAGTCAGTTTTAATAGTGGAGCAGAGCAAAGTAAAACAAATTGTGATGAAGGGCAATATTAAAAAGACGGGCATTTAGAACACCCTTGATAGCACCATCTGTCTTGTCTACAGTGCTGGCCATTGTTGTTATTACTTCTTGTTGGTTCTAGTGCACTGCTTGATAACAGTGTCGTTAGTCCCACCCATGGCACTGATTGGCTAATTCACTCCCCACACAGCATCATTGGTTGTTGTTTTATTTTAACTGAGAAACCGCTGTCATGTCAATAATAATGTCAGACAGAAATTATTTTACTCAAACTCCGTGGTGTGGGCGGATTCGAAGCTCTAGAACCAGGCAAGTGTAAATCACACATTTCATCATGACACAATATTCAATCGATTCTTTGGACAACTATATGTTGTTTGATATCATAAAGTCAACCACAATGCGATTTTGATTTGATTCAATTAAGGGGCCAGCAATCGATATGAGATGATATCGGTAAATATCCTCATTGTCTTTTTCTTGGCTGCTTACCGTAGTCTGTCTGGCACTATAGGCCGCTAGCACTGTTTGAATGTTTAGGAAGGCAGTGTGCTTGGATGGAAGTGGTGACACAGATGTGCCATGGGAATTTCAAAATAAAGGCCTATCTTAATGCTATGTATCGATGTTTTCACTTTGCTTCAATAATATTGTATCGTTGATCTAGAATTGATCCAGGTCAGTGAATCATTACACCCCTACTACAGAGGTATACTGATAAGCCAAGACAGGAATAAAGTGACTGCAACTGCAAAGTCATCAAAATCAGTCATCAAAATATTGCGCTTGAGCAGTGACTTGCTGCGTCAGACTCAAATGAAAAAAAGCTGTCCTTTAATGTCGGCATGATACGTGGCCGGTCGCCGTTGTAGTTTAAAGGCACCCAACAGTGTCGGGGAAACTCGGCAGGACAAGAAGGAAAGTTAAGGCAGCAACAGTCTAAGTGGGGCAGGGGGGATGGGTGGTGGATGGGTCCAACAAACACCACCTGGTGTTCACTTTAAATAAGATTATAAAGCCAAACCTTGTTCCTTTTTCCTAAACCTTGCCGTGTGTTTTGTTGTCTAAACCCAACCATGTGTGTTAGTTGTTGAAGGAAAAACAATGTCAATTTGCAGTGTTGTACCAACGTAATGCCTTTATTTTGAAAGAGACTGTATGTAAATTGTATATTTCCTGTGAAACCAGAAGTGTATTTTGAAAGAAGACAATGCATGTAACAGGCAGAACTTGACACTGTGTCACAGAACGTCAACAACAAATGCACCCAGGGTACCTTGCACGTCATATCTAGAAATGGAGTCCATGACCAAATGTCCACATGTGACGAATGAGAATGTGTTGGCAGCTGACTATTGTTGCTTGTCCTCACCAGTTTAATTATTTTACAGAACTGCTTATTCCCTGGTGTACATAGACACAGGCCAGATACTGGATGGTTGGGACTCATAAACGTGTCACACGAGTCCACCAGACAGATGAACCAAATTTACATTTTCAAGATAAATAAAGTTTTAATTTGTAGCTGTAATTCAGTAGTTCTTTAATTCTGAGCCTATAACACAAACTAGGAAATAGATCGGCTGATCAATTCTAAGAAAATGATAATGGCAGGTAAGATGCAACACAATGCAAAACAACACAACAAACAACATATTTCAGCATTACAATAAAACCACCAGCTGTGATGTCACTTTGTATACATGCATATTTTGTTAGCTGTATTCCAGCTAGGTCAGATTCACCCATAACCACTGTGCACTGTATATGAGCATTTTACAAGTCGTCCTTTCTTGCCCACTGTAGATATGGAGGAAGTATGATGTCGACTGCAGCGGCTACATCTCAGCCAGGGAGCTCAAGGTAAAGTTGTCACTCAGCACAAACCCACAACAGAACCAATGACACATCTCTTTTCTGTGCGAGGAACAACCTTCAGCAGTGGCATTTGTACAGAATGACTGTAACCCACAGTTACCATTTCCTGTTCTGTCACACTGAGACGTTTCTCCTCCTCATCACCACACAGTGTGCTCAAATGAAGTGCTTCATCCTTTGGTTTGTAGATTGTGTTGGTGTGTTGTGTGTAATTGTGTTTTACCCACTGGCTTGGATTGTTTTGTTGTCTGATTATGAAAGAAACTTTTGTCTCTTAGGCTTTCTTGAAAGACCTGTTCCAACAGCATCACAAGGAAGTGTCATCGGACAAGCTGGACGAGTACACAGACACAATGGTAGTGATACAGTTCATTCACACACAGACGAACACACATTTTAGAGCAAAAGTCCCTACTTTTTCTGGTTTTAAAATAGGTTTTTTAGTCAGGTGTCAATGCACTCTCCCTTGCAAAGTGTTGACAGTTAAGTGTATGCTAAACCTTTTACTTTGTTTACCCAGCATGCAGCTTGATTCTGATTGTGAGCAGGAGGCTCTGTAGCATCTACTGTAAGTAGTAGTTGTGTAAAGCTGGTTCAGACCATCAAATCCTACATTTTCCAGGTAGCTTGCAAGTGCTAGTTAGGTTGCTGTCGCTACGTCCATTATTGTTACACTCTATGGATACTGTACATACATTATAATGGAAAAACAGTATGCAACAGCTGTATTTAAAACATTATTTTTAACTTATTTATTTTCACAAATGAACGTTGTGTAAGACTGAAAAGATTTAAGCAGCTCCAGTTAACTATTCTGCCAAAAAAGGATATTGCTCAGAGGGACTTTTCACTTGTGGTATCTTTTCTGGTGTTCTTATGCATTTTCCTGCAACTATCAAAAGACAGTGACAAAGAAAGCAGCCTGGTTATTTTTTTTATTGATCTGTCTCCCTGACTTACTTCAGTGGAAACCCAGAGTGTCACATTACTATTCTACTATTCACTAGATTTCAGTTTGAAGGAAATTGGTTCACACTCAGTGTCAGGTCACGTAATGGGGTTAGAGTTACACTTGGTGTAAAGAAATAACAACAGTACAGATGAAGAGATTCACAGTCGCTGAAGTTCTTTCCGTGTTTCTCAGTACATCCTCTTTTTCTTGCAGATGAAAATCTTCGACAAAAACAAGGATGGCTGTTTGGATCTGAACGACTTGGCCAGGTACTTTTCAATATGTAAATTATAATGCATTACTCAATACATGACAATTGGATAGCCACAAAAGAAAGATTTGATCAACAACATCTCAAAAATGACTGCGTTGGTTAGCCAGTTTGCATTTTGAGATACACACACACAAAAGAATATGGATAAGACATTTTGATGTTGCTTGATAGATTATTACGCTTGGGTTCCCCCAGACCAGCCAAGTCCCTTCTTTGTGAAGTTTGCATGTTCTCCCCATGTTAGCATGGGTTTTCTCCGTGTCATGCTGAGGTTCAGTTAAGTGTTGACCCTAAATTTCCCGCAGATGTAAATGTAAGTGTGAATGGTTGTCTGTTTCAGTATGCCAGCTCTGATATAATCTGGTGACCTGTCAGTGTTCACTGTTCCAGTCATTTCTGAAGTCATACCGTACCTTAAATTTCTTGCAGAAGAAAGAAGGTGTCAATTCAACCATTTTTTTTCTCTTTGATAACTCGAATGCTTTTAAAGTATGTATTTCCTCCTCAACTAGGATCTTGGCTTTAGAGGAGAATTTCCTGCTCCAGTTCAAGATGGATGTAAGTATGCTCTTTATCTACTTCTTTCAAGTAGAAACAGACAACTTTTCAAACTTTAGAGTTTCCAAGTGGTATTGCAGCTGTTGCGAAGACAACCAAATCGCTTTCATTTTTCCTCAGAGCCACGCCGTGCTGTTTTTCTTTTGCCTCTTAGAGTTCCCACAGTTAGTTCAGTTGTTGGCCATTTCCACCACTGGGGATTACAACTGCAAAAGCATTGCATTTATCCTCTTTGGTTGCTGTTAATAGTTACTTGTAGCCACTGGGGAAAACGTGAGTGCTAGCCTCTTCCTGTTTTGGTTGCATAATGGCTGATGCAATTCAATTGTGCAACGTATTGAGCTGTATATTTCCCAGGAGATTGTACCCTGTGGCAGGCAGAATTGCAAAGTGAAAGTGAGGCTTATAGGGAACCAATGTAAGCACAGATGGTGTCAGTATTCTATAGTTATAGGGGGATTAGTAGATAGAGCGGGCGCCCCATGTACAAGGCTGTTCCCACAGTGGCCCGGGCTCGACTCCAGCCTCTGGCCCCTTGCTGCATGTCACTCCCTCTCTCTTCCCCTTTCACGCTTGACTGTCCTAACAATTAAAGGCTTAAATGCCCCCCAAAAATATTATGCAATCAGCATCTACTTCATAATAAGATAAAGCAAAAACCTATTTCCACTTTGCAACATTTTAATACAACCATGACTAAAAGTTGTCGAAATCCGGGCAATGACTTGCAGCATCAGACAATGACAAAAAAAGCTGTCCTTTAACATTAGCACGATCGCCATTATAGTTCAATGGTGCTCAGCGGCATCGGGGGAAACGCGGTGGGACACAAACAAAAGTTAAGGCGACGAAAGTCTGGGTAGGGTGGGTGGGAGGGGTACTGGGAGGAGTGGTGGACGGGTCCAACAAACGTTGACTTTCAGCCATTGTGTACCCTAAGATTATAAAGCCAAAACCTGTTCTTTCTTCCTAAACCTAACCACATGTGCTAGTTGTTAAAGGCAAAAAAAAAAAGTCAATTCGCTCTGTTGTACTGATGTAGTGCATTTATTTTGAAAGAGACTGTATGCAAATGGTAAATTTACTGTGAAAACAGAAGTGTATTTTGAAAGCAGACAACGCATGTAACAGGCAGAACTTGACACGGCGTCCCAGAATGTCAACAACCACAGGGTACCTTTCACATCATATCAGGACGTGGGAAGTCCATGACCAAGAGAATGTGTTGTTTAAGTTACATTATTTTTATCAAATTTCTCTCCAACAACCCTCTCCTCATGTCCCAAGGCCTGCAGCAAAGAGGAGAGAAAGAGAGACTTTCAGAAGATCTTTGATCACTATGACGTTGTAAGTATAATAACACACTGGGTGGGACACAGATGAATTCTTCTAATTCGTAATTTGGAAACTATGTGGGAATGTAGACAATTCAAGGAGCAACCTCTGAAGTACGATCTGTTGCAGTTCAGGAATATTTAACAGTACTTTTAGTTTTTTTAAGTAATAAGGGTGCTGGCAGCTTTCCAGTCAAGGCAGACATAACCTCCACTAAATGATTTCCATCCCCAATTAATAACACTCTCAAATTTACATAATGTGATAAGGCATCCAGAGGAGGACTTGGTACAGCAACAGTCAGTCCAATTAACTCCCTTACCCCTGTAATGAAACATACTCAAATAAAGCAGCCATTATGTTGTCAAGTCACTCTCTGGGATGATTTAACTCTGTCAGACTCATTCACAGTACAACTCCAGATAGGAGTCAGAAAGTCCCTACAGGAATCACTAATAAGCTTCCTCTACGCTGTAAAATCATGTTTATGACCTTGTCTGTATGTCAAGTAGTGCATGAACTAATGGCTTGTTTGGAAACCTTTTTATGTTGCCTGCACTTAGTTTGATTTTTCAGAGGAGCTTTGTGAAAAGTTTCCTGTGGTCACTGTTGGCCACCAGTCAGTCATTTTTTCACACCAAGGCTACTTTTTTAAGCCCTTAAATTATCGGCACACCAAGCAGCACCTTTGTCATGTTACTGATTGTAGCATTAAAAGCCTTGGTGTCATGGCAAGAAAGTGATATCTCATTTTGACCCCACTTGAAACTGCTTTTAAGGAAGAGTGTTTGTAGAATTACAGTAAGGGAGGGTCATGAGCATCATATTTTCCCTGCTGTGTGCGACACTGTCAAGTGGCGCTGGTGTACTACTGCTTAATCAGACTGTGTAACCTGAAGGTGAACATTTTAAATAAATCTAATTGAGCAGCTATGATTAACAGGCAAACAGTCCAAGGTGCTTACTAAGGATATCACCAATGCATGCTGGAAAGTGTTCCAGCTCCACCAATAAACCAAAAGAAAATGTCCAGAAAAAAAGATTATGAAATAACTGACTGAGTGGGATATAAATTAGATGAAGTAATCCACACTCTTTTTTCTTTCTTATTCTGTCTCTTGCTTTCTTGTTCAGAGTAAGACCGGAGCACTGGAGGGTCCTGAGGTGGACGGCTTTGTCAAAGACATGATGGGGCTGGTCAGGGTAAGTATGTCGCCTTTTCTTTGCAAACATGCTTTCTGACATTCAGATATTATTACCAAAATATAAAGTATATCTACATTTATGCCCCAGTTATTCCTTCTCCATTTCCTGCACACAGAGGGCTCAGTATCAAACCTAAATACTGTTTGAGTCAATGACTGTATATAAAGATGGACGACGTGTCTCCACTTCCACTGGCTGTACAAAAATGAAGCCAAAATATCTCCAATATGGGTACTGTGCAGTAGCGATTGGGAAATGGAGCGTGGAGTTCCAGCCTGTACAAACGTCCTACTAATTGTGTGCTATGCCATTGATTGCGGGCACACACAGCCGTCAATCATGACATCAGACCCCCTTTTTTATAGCATCAAATACCTAACTAAAACCAAACTTATCAGAAAAAAAATGAACACTTGAACAATCAGTGTGATATGAACTACCTAACATGATCTGTGGGGAAAAACTTATTTGACAGGTACTTCGATTTTTTTTTTTTTTTACCCATGTCCCAAGCTAACATTGAGGGGGCGTGGTCTATGACCTGTGCTGCAGCCAACCACCAGGGGGCGATTGCGATGTTTTGGCTTCACTTTTGGGAGCTATCAGGAGTTTATCATGAGTGCATGCCAAAATAATCACAAATAGGAATGACAGTTAATCATTTCACTTATTTTTTAAGCAAAGATGGATACTCTCTGATATCAATCTATCAGATGTGAGGATGCTTTTCTGTAGATTATATTTCATAGACAACTGTATTTTGGATTGATGGTCCAATATAACAATTCTGAAGATGCTGCTCTGGGCTCTAGAGAACCATAATGAGCAATTTTCATTAAGTCTTTGGCATTTTATATACACAAAGGATTAGTTGATTAATCAACAAATTATCAGTGAACTACTCAACAAACACACAAACACATCAAAGTCAACTCCAATATTTGTGACAGTGATTTGTGATTTGAAAATCAAAGTGAATTCATGTTATTTAAAATCTTTACTTGGTTAAAAGTTGAAGAGATGACAGTTTTTGGAGCAGGTGTTACTTGAGTTTGATGGGTGTGGACCCATATAAACACTGGCAGAGTGTCCATTACTATTACTATTACTATAACTATTATACTTACTATACTGTAAGTATAATGCCTTTCCTGTCTCCTCTCTCCTTTGTCCTCTCCAGCCCAATCTCACCAGTTCCGAGCTGGACAAGCTGCGTCTCATTCTGCTGCGTCACTGTGACGTCAACAAGGATGGAAAGATCCAGAGAAATGAGCTGGCTCTGTGTCTGGGAGTCAAACCTAAGCTTGGTTAAGAGAGCTGTATTATCTGATTGTATTATGAAACACTGACTCTGTATTCGTTGTGTAGTCAGCACTGGTAGGATGTTGTGTTTTGATCCGGACCGGTCTAATTACTGGGTTATTTAAGGTCAGTCTTAATAAAGACTTATTTGATCATGAAAATGATAGAAACACAATTTGATATTGTGTGATGGAAATCTTCTATGACTTGAAATGACAGTGTTTCTTGTGCATGTTGTAAGCCAAAAGAAAAGAATGAGTTGTGAAAGATTATTTGGCTGTAATGATTGTGTCTGTGCTGTAAAATTTGTGATATATTAATCAGTTTGATAGTTTGAAAACATGTTTTTGAAAACATAGAATGTTTTTCACTGTAATATAAAGTTTTCTTCTTTTTGTTTGGTGCTGGAGTTTGTTGGCCATGATTGATGTTTGGTCATTTGCATGTTTCTCTGCTAAAGAAGGCTGAAGTACAGTATGTTGTAATTTTACTGGAATGCGCAGCAGAGGAAATAAAGTGAAAATGAGCATGTTGATTATCCTGTTCTCTTTATTGGCTGTAATTTTGAATATAAGAATAAAAGTATCAAACTTGTCAGTCAAAATTTAAATTAACATTAATTTAATTTGTTTTTTATTTATTTACTAACTGCAGGAAGTAACATTTTGATCTGATGATACAATAAAATATACATAAAACAGAGGTTGGTATTAGTGTTATTCCTAAAAATCTTTGATTGAATCTAAGAGTGTTCATTCACCATTTTCATCACACTGCACTGTACATCATGATTGGTCGAATGCAAGGAAGTAATTAACATAGTTCCTTAGATTTCTCATTCTTTGTGCAACAACCAAGCAGCAACCTCCAAGGCTGAAAAAACTGCAGTTCCTCTAATGACCACTTGAAGCTGTCCCTCACCCATGTTAAAACTTAACAGCTGAAATAAACTTATAATGACTTTAGTTGTTCTTTTATCTCAGATATGTGTTAGGATATTACATACCTTGACATGTTTCGGTGGAAACTTCCTATATAATTTATTTTTTATTTTATTTTTTATATAATTTACCCGTTTACATTTTATTAAGGCTTAAAGTTGACAGGTTGTGACAGTGACAGGCATTCTACAGATAGTGTCCTCGGCTTCTCAGTCAGATCAACCCCTTGCTCCTCCCAAATATGGTAACATATGGCTCCAAAAAAAATCCAAGATGGCAACAGACAAAATGCCAAACTTGAGGCTTCAAAATGGGAGTCCACAACCAGTGGGTAATGTCACAGTAGTTATGCCATTATTTTTACTGTCTATGGCTATAACTCATTAAAAAACACATTGGCATGGCAAGGTGGTGCAGTGGACAGCATTGCCTCCTCACAGCAAAAGGGAACCCAGCTGCACCCAACTGAGCTGCGCCCCAAAAAACCCCCAATAAGGCTAAAATACCTGAGGCCAAACCTGCCAAACCTGGGGCTTGAACCCCAGGGTGGGGGAGCCCCCCTGTATGGAGCCTGCATCTTCTACTTACTTTCTCCAGGTACTCCGGCTTCCTCCCACAGTCCAAAGACATACAGGTTAATTGGTGACTCTAATTTGCCTGTAGGTGTGAATGTGAGTGTGAATGGTTGTCTGTCTCTATGTTTTAGCTGTGATAGTCTGGTGACCTGTCCCGCCTCTTGCCCAGTGTCAGCTGTGATAGGCTCCAGTCCTCTCACAACCCCCAACAGGATAAGCGGTTACGGAAAATAAATGAATGATAACACATTCATGCAGAAAAAATTTCAAGACAGTGATGAGTCACCAGCAGTGAGGGAGAGTGTTCTTTGTACAAGGGACCAACAGTATAATATAACAAATAGTAAAATATAAAATATAACAGGACTGACTCAAATGTGTCGAAGTTTTGAAACTGAATCGACGTCCAAATCAGTAATTGACTGCTTCTTTTTTTTAACCAGTTATCTGTTGAAACTGAAAGGAGATGGCGAGTGTCACACATGAATAAGGGCCAGTGTCTTAAGCAGGAAAAGGTGACATGAATTGCGAATGGTTATCTTTAGCTGACAACTGAAGTCAAGCACTTGCTTTGAATCTGGTGACGCAGCCCCTGACCCGCGGCATTTGAGTCAATAATAACCAGAGTCGGGTATTACATGTTACTTTGTAATGTACTTTGATTACTTTTTGCAGTAACGAGTAACCTAATGTGTTAGTTTGCTGTTTGAGTAATCAAATACTTATACTAGTACATTTTCAAACAAGACATCAGTTACTTCCGTTACTTTTAGAACTCTGGTCCTTCAGCTCCGAAACAGCAACGGCTGTCGTTTGGTTCTAATAACGGAGATAACGTTAAACCTATCAGTCTGAAAGAAGCCACGGAGCTTGTGGCTCGCTACGTGGTCGGAAAAATGCTGCCGTTGTCTAAATAGGTGGAGTCTAAATAGGTGGAGTAGGACTCACTGACAGACATATTTCAGACTCAGGACTTGCATTATGCCTGGTACACGCTACACGCTGGTACTCACCAATTATCCCCGGTCGTCTTTCACGGCGTGTGTGATGTCATCGGGTTATTCTTGTCCTATTTTTATTACTTTCACTATTATTTGAGTCACTGCCAGAACTGTGTCTGTTCATGTGACAGCATACATGTTGTTGTAGTCACCTAAAAGTGTCAGCAGATGGCAGGAGCTACATTTGAAGCGCCATATGTAAACTATCAAGCTACTGTATCTTCCACAGGAAGTTCTGGCAAATGTTTCAGAATAAAAGCCTATTTAGAAAATGGAGGGATTCTCTCAGCTGAGGTTATAAGGGGCTTTTAATTTGAAACAAGTGTTGAGTTTGAAATGACGGTGCGATATGTTAACTTTATAAAGACAACGGAGCGGATAAAAAGTAAATATATAAGGATTAATAAATAACGGACCGTCTATAATGTAGTTTGTTTCAAATGAAGCTGGGAGCCTCTGCAGTTGTGGTGAGTAAAAGCCCCGCCGCTATTTGTTAATGTTATTACTTTATGTCCGACCGTGAGGATGTACCATTGTTTGCTAGCTTGATGCTAATGACAGTAACGTTAACTCAGCGGGTTGACAAAGTGCCTCTGCTGTTTCACACCATCATTTCCCCCTTTTACTCTGTGTGGTAACATCCCTAGAGGAAATATTAAAAATGCTGGGTGTTGTTGTCATACAGTTGTCTACGGCAGCAGATCGTTCTGTGTTTCTACTGGTCAAAGTGACGGCTGTGATGGGAGAATTGGATCTCAGTGAAGGGCAAGCAAGCATTGCCCAATAGGAAATGTAGAATACTCAAAAGTACTTTTAAAGGGCTTGAGTTACTTTTCTCAGGGAGTAACGTTGGAAGTACTTTTAAAGTAACTGAGTTACTTTACTCAGGGAATAATGCAGTAAAGTAACTGGTTACTTTTTTAAAAAGTAACGCAGTAACGTACTTTGATTACTTTTAAAGTAACCCTTACCCAACACTGAAACTTACAAAAACATTCATGCAATAGTCCACCTTCCATCTCCTCTTCCCTCTTTCAATCATTTTATCTCACAAACACATGCAGCGGCGCTAAGTCCACCAAAGTCAGGTTGAGTGGTTGATTTGCATATATCCTGGTTCTTCAAGAGGGGGTCCGTGACCCCTTTAGGGTCCACAGAGTTACTGCAAGGGGACCAGCAAATTATTGTTACATGTTTTGGGAATATGTGGATAATTATCACCAAAGCTTTGAAGCCACAAAAATAGTGTTTGGAGTACCGCCTTAAATCTAATAGAATATAATATGACTTTGCTGACTGGAAATTACTAAATATGAACCAAAAACCTTCAAAATCTCTTACAGAAAAACAAAACTCCTGGTTATGTAAGCTTGATATTCTGTGGACCAATATAGCTTCAGGGATGATGAGGTGAACTAAGGCTTTAATATCTGAAGAGTAACTCAGGTCATTGTGACCCTTCTCCTGTGAGATGCAACAAGCTGACAGGGCGAGTCTTGTTTGTTAAGTCAAAGCCACAGAATAAAAACCTTAAGTAGATGGAAACACTTTTGGCCACTAAAAGGGAGCTAATGGTGCGGACCTAAAAGCTTTACTCTCAGACTGCCTGATTGCCCTTCCAGTCACCACAAAGCTGTTGTGTGAGGTTTGATCTTGTCTCTGTCTCTGTCCTTGTGTGTGTCTGCATGTGTGTGTGTGTGTGTGTGTGTTTGTGTTCATCAAACAGGGAGGCAACCCTACAAACAAACTACTAACAAAAAGAGACTACACTGTGTGTTTATGTACAATAAATAGATACACTTGTGTAAGTGTTTGCATGTGTGTATTGTGCTTTAGAGTGAAGGGCTTATGATTGTGTGTATTCGTGTGGGCAGAGCAGCTGCTACACAGCTGCTGCAAAGCAAACAGTTTCCCATTTAGGCTGAAAGCTTCGGTCTCCGCTGTATCACAGGCCTCATTAACACTGGATGGTCACTGTGGTGCAGGGGCAGGAAATTTTAGTGATATGATATCTGATAATGAGGGAAAGTTGAAGCACTCTAACGAAGGCAGAATCAATAACATTTTCTTTCAATTGCCAAGCACTTTATTTTTCTGTATATAATCTAAGCGGGAAAAGTGGAAACAAGATGAGCTGTGTTCTCTGATTGTTTTCTGTTCTTGTACATTTCCTGCTGTATTAATGTCCATTTTGGATGAGTAACAGTGCCACAGACTGAATCTGGAAAATGTTATTTGATTTCCTTATCCTTTGTTAGAATTTCCTGATTGTCAGCCTACCAAGAGGATGTCATACACGGACAGTCTTTAGCCCTCCTGAGCCCTGTTGTTAAAGAAAGTCAACCCTTTCCTCCTGAAAAAAGAAGTTTTACCCATCCACATTTTTCCTGTTTAAGTAATTTCCAGTCTAGAAAATTGTTTCCATTCATTCAGTAGCGACACGGCCCTTATTGGACAGCCCTGAACCTGCTCTGAGCTTCTAAACAAGTTATCAGGCACTTAGGTGGGACTAAATCTTTAGGTAATGATTTATTTCTCTGTGTTCCATTGCTGTCACATTAACACGTGCTTCACCTGAGGCTTTACAGCTGTAGCATGTGATCTGTTATAGGTGAAGCCGGGAACACGACACAAATGATGCAAAACCAAGAAAAATTAATGGGGAAGCATCAGTCAAAACAAAAGGACACACTGTGTTTAACCTTTTGTAAAGAATTAAATGTACATTGTGTGCGCATTAACCTTTATTTTGCTCTATGTTTTTGTATTATTTTGTGTGACTCAGATCTTATGTGTATATATTTAAATGTCAAGTATTCAGTTGTGTAAATTGTGTGTATCAGAGAGAGACAGAGAGGGAACCCCTCCCTCCAGGCAGAGTATCATTTAAGCCTCACATTGTTCATTTCTGCCCTCTAGTGGTCAAGATGAAGTGTTGCAGTTCTTAAATACAAAAAGAGCACAGAGGTGTCAATCTCATTTTAGTGTAGGGGCCACACACACCCCAATTTGATCTCAAGAGGGCTGGGCCACTGAAACTACTGCATAATAACCTATAAATATCAGTCCCTTCAAATGTTTCTTTCATCCTGAAAATGTTCATCTGTTGTCACCAAACTGCTGAAGAAGCAGGTTAAGTCATCCCCTCCTTACAATCTGAAGTTTTGTCAGTGCCTCAGCAGC